TACTGATATATATAGATATAAAATATGATAAAAATCTTGTTTTATAGATTCGGGTCCAGACGACAACGCGTTTTTAAATATTTTTAAATACTGGTTTCATACTTCTGTAGAACATTAAAGTTTGTGTTAAAATGTTGTATAATTGATATCTTTACTCACTGGTTTCCACGGTTACTCTGGTTCCTCTCCCAAAGATGATCTTATTCAATCCAGTATTCACACAGCACGAAGCTCCATGACACAAACTGGATTTAACATTTCTGTGTTCTGCAGTAATTATCTCACTAAACATAAACAGACTACTTTGTCCACGGAAAGAATAAATGTCTTTAAGATGAAAGATGTGAATTAATTTCTGATTTTATGTGAATTTTATCTTCTTTTTTTATTCACTACTCCTTTGGTGTTGTATGCGTTCCAGTAAACAGTTTTATTTAATATGCTCCAAATAAATAATACTTATAATGTATCTCAGTACTCACTGGTTTCAACGGTTACTCTGGTTCCTCTCCCAAAGATGATCTTATTATATCCAGTACTCACACAGCACGAAGCTCCATGACACAAACTCCACTCAGAGAAACATCAATTTCTCTTCAGAGACTTCTCATTATTAATTTATATTATATATGAATTGTTACGGTATTTGTTTATAACGATCTAGACGGTCTTTCTGCTCATAAAAACATATTTAAAATGTTTTCATGGCTGTACATTTTTAGGCTTTTCTTTGTTCATGACATTTTATAGAAACTGGTTTTGAAGCTACAGAGAAGACTACAGATGTATATCGTTAATGTTTAATTGATCTCAGTACTCACTGGTTTCAACGGTTACTCTGCTTCCTCCTCCAAAGATGAGTTTGAATTGATTTGCTCCTCCAGTAGTCACACAGCACGAAGCTCCACGACACAAACTGAACCAAACTCATTGATCTCAGATCGAGCCTTTAGCCTAAATGATTGAATTGTAATCACTAAATTACCTTTAATACAAAGTCAATTAACTTTCATCGTGCCTTCAGGTAGAACTCAATAGGGTTCATGATTTATAAATGTATTATGATTTAGAGAATCTTTAAACAATCACTGCTTCTTCTTTAAAAGTTGTTTTTTATTCTGTATTTATTGTGTTTCCTGAAACGTTATATTTGCATGTTATTAGTTTTAATTCTGGTTTTATATTTACCAAAGTAAAAACGCCAAAGCTTTTGTTGAAAGACGCTTTGAATAATTAATAAACTGTATCTCGTTACTCACTGGTTTCCACAGTTACTCTGGTTCCTCTTCCAAAGATCAGTTTCCGTCCGTCTGCATTCACACAGCACGAAGCTCCATGACACAAACTGACGGTTCGAAAGTCTCCAGTAATAACGGTTATTTTAATTAAAATACTACATCATTATAAACTTCTGTCATATATTATGTTTAATCTTATATTTAATGTACAAACTCCATTCAGAAAAACATTGATTTATACGACATTTACGATAAATACAGTTAATTAATAAAAGCCTCACATTGCATTAAAGAGTAAATACACATTTTAAATATTGTATTCATTAAATGCACTTGTTATCGTTTGATAAAGGAAAGTATTGCATTTTCTCCACTTGGTCCTGATTCAATGTTTAGTAAAATACAGGTGTTGTTTTTTAAAGACGGTCCTTATTGATAATTATTATAATATATATCTCAGTACTCACTGGTTTCAACGGTTACTCTGGTTCCTCCTCCAAAGATGATCTTATTTACACCTCCAGTATTCACACAGCACGAAGCTCCATGACACAAACTCCACTCAGAGAAACATCAATTTCTCTTCAGAGACTTCTCATTATTAATTTATATTATATATGAAATGTTAAGGTATTTGTTTATAACGATCTAGACGGTCTTTCTGCTCATAAAAAAGTATTTCAATGTTTTCTATGGTTGTTAATTTTTAGGCTTTTCTTTGTTCATGACATTTTATAGAAACTGGTTTTGAAGCTTCAGAGAAAACTACAGATGATATATCGTTAATGTTTAATTTATCTCAGTACTCACTGGTTTCCACGGTTACTCTGCTTCCTCCTCCAAAGATGATCCTAACTCCAGTATTCACACACAGTAAAACTCAGTACAAACTCCACTCAGAGAAACATCCACTTCACTTCAGAGACTTCTCATTATTAATATATATATTTACTTCACTATATTTTTCAGTTTTTCTGTATTATTGTGTTGCTCTGTTGGAGAAGCCTGTGACCTAAGATGTTCATCGACATACATGCTCTGTAGCTATGTTCGTATGACAAATAAAGAACCTTGACCTGGACCTTGATATATTATATAGGAAATGTTAAGGTATTTGTTTTTAACGATCTAGACGGACTTTTTGCTCATTAAAACATATTTAAAATGTTTTCATGGTTGTACATTTTTAGGCTTTTCAAAGTTACATTTTTTAGAAACTGGTTTTAAAGTTGCAGTCGAAAACTACAGATTATATATAATGAATGTTGAATATATCTCAGTACTCACTGGTTTCAACGCTTAGTGTGGTTCCTCTTCCAAAGATGATCTGATATCCATCAGTACTCACACAGCACGAAGCTCCATGACACAAACTCTCTGAACTAAACAGTCATTATATTCCCTTCAAACCATTCATTATTAATATATGTAATTATATTAAAATGTTAAGGTACTGATATATATAAAATATGATAAAAGCCTTGTTGTTTTATTGATTCTGGTCCAGACGACAACACGTTTTTAAATATTTTCAAATACTGGTTTCATACTTCTGTAGATGTTGTGATAAAATGTTGTATAATTTATATTTATAATATATCTCAGTACTCACTGGTTTCAACGGTTACTCTGGTTCCTCTTCCAAAGATGATCTTAGCTTGACCTCCACCAGTCACACAGCACGAAGCTCCATCACACAAACTCAACCCAACTCCATCAGAAAAACACACTCAATTATATTCAGATTTAACGGTTTGTGAAGTATTTTAATTCTCTCCAGGATTATTCTGAATACAACCTTTTCAACTGGATCCTATTTTATTCTCAAGACATTATTTCAACACTTTTTCATTTTTGTTTTCGCAGTATTTTACTTCTTAGATTTTCATTTCTTATAAAGGTTTTGTTTTTGACTTAGTGCGGATTGTATGAGCCGTTGATCTACTGCTGTTTAGTACGGAAGAGGATTAGGGCCACGTGGCAACGATGTCTTTAGGTCTGACAAACGTTATTCTTTTAGTTCTGTGTAAAGTCAGGATTCTGGAGAAAAAAAGCTAGAATTTTGAGGAAGAAAAGTCATTTTTTATCTGAATTTTATGAAAAAGTCTTAATTTCGAGGAGAGAAATCTAAATTTGGGGGAACATGTTTTTGCATCTCCAGAAATCAGTCGTGATGAACTCACTGTTGGTCAGAATGAACCCCATGCGGCCCTAGTGCTCTTCCGTCGTTTAAAACACATGAAATCCCTTATATGTCTAACACTGTAACGTTTGTTGTTAAAAACGCAGCATTCCCGAATTTCTTTTAAATAATTGATATCTATTATTACTCACTGGTTTCCACGGTTACTCTGGATCCTCTTCCAAAGATCATCTTTCTCGCTCCTGCAGCATTCGCACAGCACGAAGCTCCACGACACAAACCCAACCTACGTTTCATCATTAACTCTAAATGGAATGAGACGTGCCAGCTTTGTCTCTTTTCATATTATACGTTGGTATTGACTTCAGAGCCGTGACACTCAATTATTATGTATTGGGTATCCTAGTAAAGTGTTTTAAATCGTCCTCTTAAAGCAGCTGAGTTTAGAACGAGGTTTTATTTAGTTGATATTGTTACTCACTGGTCTCAACGGTTACTCTGGTTCCTCGTCCAAAGATGACTTTAGTTGATCCTCCGCTAGTCGCACAGCACGAAGCTCCACGACACAAACTGAGCCAAACATCCACTTCACTTCAGAGACTTCTGATTATTAATATATATTATATATCAAATGTTACCGTATTGATTTATGTAAAATATGATAAAAACATTGTAGATGTTTTATTTATTTATGGTTTTTCATGGTGAGTTGTATTATGTTTGGATATCTTATAGATTTAGTTCGAGATAACGTGTTATTACATATTTTTAAACACTGGTTTCATACGTTTGGAAAACATTTAAGTTTGGATCATTGTTATGAATAATGTTTATGACTCTGGTTCCTCTTCCAAAGATGATCTTAAATCCTCCACCAGTATTCACACAGCACGAAGCTCCACGACACAAACTCAACCAGACTCCTCTCAGACAAACATCCACTTCACTTCAGAGACTTCTGATTATTAATTTATATTATATATTAAATGTTACCGTATTTATTGTTTAACGATCCAGACGTCTTTCTGCTCATTAAAACGTGTTTACATTTTGTAATGGTTTGGGATTTTGTTCCTGACATATTAGAGATATTCGTTAACAAATTGCAAGTTATTTTTTATTAATGATGTATATCGTTACTCACTGGTTTCCACGGTTACTCTGGTTCCTCTTCCAAAGATGATCTGATATGAACCTCCAGTATTCACACAGCACGAAGCTCCATGACACAAACTCAACCAAACTCCTCTCAGAAAACATGGATTTAACTTAAAGACTTAATGGACGTGTTTTTAGTTCCTGATGTTGAATTAGTTCTGCTTTTCAAACTGCAGATAACAAGTTTATTTTAATCCTGGTTTTATTTTTGTTCGATTTAAACACTGAAGTTTTTCTCCTCAAGTTAAAGAAAGTCTCTGCATCCATTTAAAACGGATTATCAATATTAAATGTAATTGTTAAGGTACATTTACATATTAGCATTAAATCTGTCTTCTAAAAACTCATTCAAATCGTTGTGATTTCCAAACTGCAGTCCAGAGGCTCGATATTTGAACATTTAAATTCTGCTTTGTGTTTAAAGAGGCTTTGTATCAAATATATATAATCTCAGTACTCACTGGTTTCCACGGTTACTCTGGTTCCTCTTCCAAAGATCATCTTATATCCTCCAGTATTCACACAGCACGAAGCTCCACGACACAAACTCCATTTAACATGAGAGACTTCTCATTATTATATTTCATATCAAATGTTTCCGTATTGATTTATTTAATCACGATCTAGAGAATCTTTCTGCTCATTAAAACGTTTTCAAATCTTAGTTTTTCATTTTTTAGGGTTTTATTAGTTCCTGACATTTTAGAGATACTGGTTTTTAAGTTGCAGCAGAAAACTACAAGCTATTTCTAATGTATGTATAATGTATATCAGTACTCACTGGTTTCCACGGTTACTCTGGATCCTCTTCCAAAGATTAATTTAACTTGAGCTCCCGTAGTCACACAGCACGAAGCTCCACGACACAAACTGAGCCAAACATCCACTTCACTTCAGAGACTTCTGATTATTAATATATATTATAATTAAATGTCACCGTATTGTTGTTTTTACTCGTAATGCTCTACGCTCTTTCTGCTCATGAAAACATTTTCAAATCTTCGTGTTTTTTGACATATTGTTCATTTGTTGTGTTTCATTAGCTCCTGGCATTTGATGCTTTCAAGCTGCATCACAGAAAACTACGAGTTCCTTTGAATGTATTTATGATGTATCTCAGTACTCACTGGTTTCCACGGTTACTCTGGATCCTCTTCCAAAGGTTATCTTAGCTTGAGCTCCAGCATTCACACAGCACGAAGCTCCATCACACAAACTGAACCAAACTGGATTCAAGTTGAGAGACTTCTGATTATTAATTAAATGTTACCGTATTTATTGTTTAACCATCCGGACGTCTTTCTGCCGATTCAAACGTTTTTAGATTTTGTAATGGTTCAGGATTTTTAAGGTGGTTTTAAGTTGAAGTAGAAAACTACAAATGATTGCTAATTGAATTACAATTTATATTGTTACTCACTGGTTTCCACGGTTACTCTGGTTCCTCTTCCAAAGATGAGTTTTTGAGCTCCAGTATTCACACAGCACGAAGCTCCACGACACAAACTCAACCAAACTCCTCTCAGACAAACCTGATTTTAACATTAAAGACTTCTAATTATTAATATATATAAAATGCTAAGGTACTGTTATTTGATCAAATATGATAAAAACATATTTGCATTTAATTATCTTTTGTGTTTTATTATTTTCAGTTGTTGTCTAGATAACTACACGCTGCTAAATATTTTTAAACACTGTTTTCATACGTTTGTAAAACATTTAAGTTTGAATTATTGTTATGAATAATATTTATAATATATATCGTTACTCACTGGTTTCAACGGTTACTTTGATTCCTCCTCCAAAGACTATCTTAAATCCTCCATCAGTATTCACACAGCACGAAGCTCCACGACACAAACTCAACCAGACTCCACTCAGACAAACATCCACTTATTATAAGTTAACTTAAAGACTTAATGAACGTGTTTTTAGTTCCTGATGTTGAATTAGTTCTGCTTTTCAAACTGCAGATAACAAGTTTATTTTAATCCTGGTTTTATTTTTCTCCTCAAGTTAAAGAAAGTCTCTGCATCCATTTAAAACAGATTAGTAATTTACATGTTAGCATTAAATCTGTCTTCTAAAAACTCATTCAAATCGTTGTGATTTCCAAACTGCAGTCCAGAGGCTCGATAATAAAACAATTTCATTCTGCTTTGTGTTTAAAGATCCTTTGCATCAAATATATCTATCAGTACAGTAAAGTAAACACTAAGTATTAGTAATATTTAATATATGTATCTCAGTACTCACTGGTTTCCACGGTTATTCTGGATCCTCTTCCAAAGATGAGTTTAGTATTCCCTCCAGTATTCACACAGCACGAAGCTCCATGACACAAACTCCACCAGACTCCTCTCAGACAAACATCCACTTCACTTCAGAGACTTCTGATTATTAATTTATATTATATATTAAATGTTACCGTATTGATTGTTTAACGATCCAGACGCCTTTCTGCTCATTAAAACGGTTTTAAATGTTGTAATCGTTTGGGATTTTTAGGCTTTTCTTTGTTCCTGACATTTTACAGATACTGGTTTTTCAGTTACAGCAGAAAACTACAAGTTATTTCTAATTGATGTTTAATATATAATATAATATATCTCAGTACTCACTGGTTTCCACGGTTACTCTGGTTCCTCTTCCAAAGGTGATCTTATAATTTCCTCCTCCAGTAGTCACACAGCACGAAGCTCCATGACACAAACTCAACCAAACAGAGTTCTAATTATTAATAAATATTACAGATCAAATGGTAAGGTAGTGATTTAATACATTTGAACGATCTCGAGAATCTTTCTGCTCATTAAACGGTTTCAAATCTTATTTTTTCTTAAATTAATTTTAATTTCCTATCTCCTGACAATTTAGAGATACTCGTTAACAAGTTGCATCACAGCTTATAATCATACAAGTTATTTTAAATGTATGATTTATCTCAGCACTCACTGGTTTCCACGGTTACTCTGGTTCCTCTTCCAAAGGTGATCTTAGCTCCTCCACCAGTCACACAGCACGAAGCTCCATCACACAAACTGGATTACACCTCAGAGACTTCTGATTATTAATATACATCATATATCAAAGGTTATGGTATTGATTTATTTAATTAGAGTCCTTCTGCTCATAAAAACGTTTTCAAATCTTCATGTTTTAAAAAAATATTTCTACATCTTTGGGGTTTATTAGTTCCTGACATTTCATAGATACTGGTTCGCAAATCGCAGTTCAGAAAACTAGAAATGATTGCTAATTTATTTACAATTGATATCTTTACTCACTGGTTTCAACGGTTACTCTGGTTCCTCTTCCAAAGATCATCTTAGCTCCTCCACCAGTACTCACACAGCACGAAGCTCCATGACACAAACTCTCTGAACTAACCAGTCATTATATTCCCTTCAAACCATTCATTATTAATATATGTTATTATATGAAATGTTAAGGTACTGATATATATATATATATAAAGTCTGATAAAAACCTTGTGTTATAGATTCGGGTCCAGACGACAACGCGTTTTTAAATATTTTTAAATACTAGTTTGATACATCTGTAGAACATTAAAGTTTGTGTTGAAATGTTGTATAATTGATATCTTTACTCACTGGTTTCCACGGTTACTCTGGTTCCTCTTCCAAAGGTGATCTTAGTTCCTCCATCATTCACACAGCACGAAGCTCCATGACACAAACTCAACCAAACTAGATTGAACTTGAGAGACTTCTGATTATTAATATATATGATAAATAAATGTGACCGTATTGATGTGTTTATTTATAATGCTATCGACGGTCTTTCTGCTCATTAAAACGTTTTCAAATCTTTGGGTTTGTATCCTGACATGTTCCTGACATTTTATTGATACTCGTTAACAAATTGCATCACAGAAAACTACAAGTTATTTTTTATGTATTTATGATGTATCTCAGTACTCACTGGTTTCAACGGTTACTCTGGTTCCTCCTCCAAAGATGATCTGATCTGAACCTCCCGTAGTCACACAGCGTGAAGCTCCACGACACAAACTGAGCCAAACATCCACTTCACTTCAGAGACTTCTGATTATTAATATATATTATAATTAAATGTCACCGTATTGTTGTTTTTACTCGTAATGCTCTACGCTCTTTCTGCTCATGAAAACGTTTTTAAATCTTCGTGTTTTTTGACATATTGTTCATTTGTTGTGTTTTATTAGCTCCTGGCATTTGATGCTTTCAAGCTGCATCACAGAAAACTACGAGTTCCTTTGAATGTATTTATGATGTATCTCAGTACTCACTGGTTTCCACGGTTACTCTGGGTCCTCTTCCAAAGACTATCTGATCTGAACCTCCCGTAGTCACACAGCGTGAAGCTCCATGACACAAACTCAACCAACTCCACTCAGAAAAACATGGATTTTAAAACACAGACTTCTGTCAAGTTAAAAAAGTCTTAACAAACCCATACAACTAATTAATGATAACTATATAAAATGCTATAAAAAAAGTTATGTTTGTTAATTGTTATTGTCATTTTGTTAAATCTGAGCTATTTATGGCTTCGTCATAAATGCAGTTTGTTATGTTATAAAGATGATATATCAAAATGAAGGTATATCATGAATAATATGTATATTTGTATATTTACTGTACACCTCTCTGAACCAAAGTCCATTCAGAAAAACATGGATTTACCATTAGAGACTTCTGATTATTAATATGTATTATATATGAAATGTTAAGGTATGGATTTATTACATTTTAACGATCTAGAGAAACGTTTTAGTATATTTAAAATGTTTCCAGGTTACCTGAGTGGACCACCAGCCGAGTTCCCCCCCCGAATATCACTTTGTCCGTCCCTCTCGTCACACTGTGTCGGAGGTCTGACTGAAAACCCCCAAAATAAACCTTATCTATTTGATAAGTGTCAGTTTATTATCCAGAGGTTAAAACTCAAAGAAGCTGGTCAAATAATTTAATCTACATTTTCTGTGATTTTTTTAACACAAATCTAAAAACTATTATCATGCTTTTTAAAAAGATACAGGTGCTCTATTTGTATTCATTCATTCATTGTTATTATTATTTAAAGTTTTTAATTGTAATGTGTTTAAATGTTGTTTTCCTTTGGCAAATGTTTTTGTTTTGATTACATTTTCAATTTGTTCAAACATTCATTTGTTTGTGACTTTGCAGATTGTTGTCAATTAACAGATTATCTGTCAACAGATAGTAGTATTAGGTTGAACTGTATGAACTAATGAACCAATGACTTTGCAGATTTTTGTATAGAATTTGTGCAAAAATGTTCACCGTTATTTATTTAAGAGCACGTTGATCCTGTTCTCACTTTATTTTGTACTTTTGTATAATAATGTTAAAGTTTAGAAACATGTTTTTCTATATTTTAGGTTTATTGCAGTTTTTTATTTTCATTCAGAGTAAAAAAAAATACATTTTTCAAATTGAAATCTTTTGTGACTATTTTTTTTTAAATCACAAAACTGATCAAATAAGGATT